GGGGGGTAATCTTGGAGAAGGCTACACACCCTGGAATAGTGGCTGGACAGGAAAATGGCAGGAGGAGGCCTCACAAGCCCAAAGGTCCTTTGAGCTTGGGCCAGGTTTTATGAGCTGGGGGCATGGGGGGAGGTGGGCCAATCTCATGCCCCTAACCTCAGGCGGTGCCCAGGGTTCCTGCCACTTAGAGAACATGTTTTTCCCAAGGGCGCCACTGGAAAAGAAACCCAGAGATTTGGCCAGGTTGTGGCCCTCCTACCCCCCAAGACAATCCCACTGAGCTGATTACTCACTTCCTCTCTGGAGAAAGGACGCTACACCCCAGTACTTCATCTTGAACTTGGCAGGGTCCTCAGTGTCTGTGAAGGTGCCCACCATGTCTGCGCACACGTCCCAGTTGCTGCAAAGGCCAAGGGGATCCTGAGCCAGGCCGGGCAAAAGGCTTCCTCCCTCCATCCTCCATCCCACCACCCCGGGTGCTCCCTTCCCTCCCCGTCAGGGTTTGGCGCCCAGAGCCCACTGACTTCAACAGACGGACTCGGCCCTTGGCCGTGGCGCTCATCTGGCCGTTCTCGTCCACGGAGAACTCGGCGATGATGTTGTCCTGCAGAAAGAGGCCCTCGGGGTCCTTCTTGGCCATGGCATACCAGGTCCCGGCGAACTGCAAAGGAGAGGAGAGCGGGTTTGGCGATGAGAGCGGGTGTGGTGATGAGCGCACGGTGAGGCTGGCCGCGGGGCTGGGGGGACGCGGGCACCGGGGCCCCCGGGCCGGTACCTACCCGAGCCTTGTCGAAGTTCTCCTTGACTCGGAAGCTGCTCACCCGGCAGTCGCGCTCCGCCCGAGCGCTGCCCAGCGCAGCCAGCAGCACGAGTGCCCACACCCACTCCATCGCGCCCAGGAATCGCCCTGCGGGAAACGCGCACCGTCGGGGAGCGCTGGCCCACGGAGCTCTTCGGTTGGCATTTTTTCTTTGTTTTCTTATCTTTTGCTTATTTTATTTCTTCTCTCTCCCCCCCCGCCCCCCACGCGAATATAAACTCCAAAGAGACTTTTTTTTTTTTTTTTTATTCTTTTTGCCCCGGCGAAACAGTGGGGGCGCGGGGGGGGTTTTTTTGAGGGGGAAGAGAGTAAAGAATTTTTTATTTAATAGAATAAATAGCCGGGTCGGCGCCCCCCCACGCTGCTTTTTTTTTTTTGTTGCGGGGGGGGGAGGGGGGGGGGTGTTTATTTTTTTTTTCCTTTCTATTCTCGCCTCGTTATATTTGGGTTGGGAAGAATAGCATATTTATTTTGTTAATATTTTTTTTTAGTTTTTTTCTCTTATTTTTTTTTTTTTTTTTTTTTCTTTTTTTGAGTTTAATTTATTGCTGCTAATGTTCACATGTATTTTTGAATTCGATAGAACGAAAACGGACCGGAGGGTGTGGCACCATGTAAGGCTAGAGGATGTCGAGCCAGCATTGATATTGAAAGCTATCATATACAGAATTAGTAGATGAGTGTGTAGAGTAGGAGTGTTTCAGGCTTCGAGTGATGA